CACCACACACACACACACCACACAAATGCACACACACACCACACACACCCCACACACACCCCACACACACACCACACACCCCCCACACGCACACACACGCGCGCGCGCTGACCGTAACCCCGCAGGGGGACGGTGCTGGTCTCCCCGCCATACGGATAAGATGACCGAGGCAGGGATGTCACGTGACTCGTCCGCGGACACGGAGGTGGCACGGCTGCCGGGCCTCACGGGGTTTGCTCCCCGAGCTGCTGTCCGGACCGTAACCCCGCAGGGAGACGGTGCTGGTCTCCCCGCCATACGGATGAGACGACCGAGGCAGGGGCGTCACATGACTCGTCCGCGGACACAGAGGTGGCACGGCTGCTGGGCCTCACGGGGTTTGCTCCCCGAGCTGCTGTCCGCCTAACGAAACGAAGGGGGGGGCCCAGGGTGCTGGGAGTGGGACACAGTGGGAGAGACCGGGGTCTAGCAGAGGTGCAGGGCGGTGCGGGGGTCGGGCGAGGTGGTGGCTGGGCCCCCCAGAGGGCGACAGCAGAGGGAGGGGTCTCGGGGCGGCCCTTCCGCAGCCGACACGGCCTTCTCTCCACAGTGGCCACCGCGCCGGCATCTGCGCCCGACATGGTGAGTCTCACGGCCTGTGTGCCCGCCCGCCTGCCCCTGGCCCCTGACCCCTGACCTCTGACCTCACCTGCGTGCTCTTCCCCCAGGACGCCTCTGTCATCTACTCCCAGGTGAAGGTGGCATCAGCCCTGGCCTCCAGGCCCCAGCTCCTGGCCCCCTCCGCGCCTCACCGATGAGGACACACAGCTCCCCAGCTGCTGTCTCAGCCTCTGTGCCCCAAAGCATCTTTGGGGCGACCCACACTGCCCCAGGCCACTTCCCTGGGGCCTCTGCAGGTTGGACCGAGGTGCAGGGCCCTGCAGGAGCCCCACCTGCTTGCCGGCCACAGCCCTCCTGCAGGTCTTCCTGCCTGAGGCCACTGTCCTGAGCCCGCCTGCCACAGCAAGGAGTACCCCAAATCCCGCATGGCCATCTGCTTGCAGTGGATGCACGTCTCCGTGCCGTCAGCCTGGCGAGGCTACTGCGCACCCTGCCAAACATGACTCACGGCCCTGGGGACAGGGACAGCGGGCCCGTCGTGGACCCCTCCCCGCAAAGGGGCTGCGTGTCACACACCCGGGTCACATGAAACTCCAAGGTCAGCGCCTGACGCCAGGGTAACTGCTCTCCTGCTTCCCAGCCCAGTAAGTGGGTCTCACAGCCCAGGTCCCAGAGCCGCCGGTCCTGCCAAAAGTCCCCACGCAGCCGTGCCCGGAGCACCAGGGCTGCAGACAGCGTGGTGCCGGAGCGGGGACGCCCTCTGAGCCGTACGCCCTCGTGGGTCAGCCGGGCAGCCCGCGAAAGCAAGGCTGGGCAGGTCAGGTGGAGGCCGGGACTCTGTGTGTGACACGCTCCCCAGGGGGCTGGTCCCAGGACCGTGCTGGGCCCCGAGGCCCTGCAGCTCCCGGCAGAGGACGTAGACAAGCAGTGTGTGCTCTGGCTGCTCACCGCACGGTCCCACTGCCCCAGCCGTCCCTGCTCGAGGATACCTCCAGCCTGCCGCCCCTCGGGGCCGCCGCTTCAGACGCGTGCGTTTGTTTCCGCAGCAAGGCTGCGGGTCCTTAAAGCGAGGCCAAGTCCAGCCACGTGTCAACCTGTGCCGCCCGTCCTAGGGGTGCGCCTGCCCTCTTCGTCTCTCCTCGAGGTCCACCTCCCCTGGGACATGGGGCTGGCCAGCACAGTGTCTCGTTTTTAGACAAGTGCTACTCCAGCTAGCCAGCCTTGGCATCTCCCCCGCCTCCTCTACCCCTCGATCCGTCCCGCACGCTCGGCAGAGGCCATCTCGTAAGGATGGCTACCGGGGACAGAAGAGTTAATAAGCACCAGACACAGAGCTGAGCATTTTGCGTGGGTCACCTCACGTGACTCTCCTGATGAGCCTGGGCAAAAAGTATCCATTACTGTCCGTTAATACGTGTCTATTACAAAAGAGGAAACTGAGCCTTAGAGAGATTTAGTCATTTACCCAAAGCCACACACTGATAAGCCGGCGCCGCCACTGTCCAGCCCTGAAGCCCATGCTCTGGGCCACGTCACCCGCTGTCCCTGGTGGGCTCCGGGGGCACCGGTCCCGTGCGAAGGGGCCTCTGTGAAGTCTCAGGGGAGCAGAGCGGACCTAGGGTCGGGCGGCTCCTGCTCGGGCCGCGGGTCACTGCCTCGCGCTCCAACCTCCGGGTGCCCGAGCCGAAACGGGAAAGGATGCGCCTGCGTGACTGGGCCGCGTGTCGGGGGCGGGGGGTGGTGGTGCCGCCCCGCCGGGCCCTGTGCTCACTACAAAGTCCGTGTCGCCTCCGTCTGCGTCGTCCGTCCCCATGACGTCATTGTCATTCTCGCGAGGCGGGGACGGGAGCCCGGGAGATGCTGCAGGAGAGCGCGGCGGGGAGTCACGTGCTGTCTGCAATGCGAGCGGAAGCAGGTCATGGGGGGGCGTCTGTTTAGCGCTTCAGGGGTCGACCTTTGTGACCTGGGTGTCATTTGGTCATTTCTCCGAGCAGCGACAGCAGCACGGTGCTTCTCTGGGTGCGCCCCGCGGGGAGTCTGGTTGACGGAGGGGTGCGTTTGCTCTCCAGCGGGCTCGGCGTCACCCCGGCAAGCAGTGCTTCTCTGGGTGCGCCCCGCGAGGAGTCTGGTTGACGGAGGGGTGTGTTTGCTCTCCAGCGGGCTCGGCGTCACCCCGGCTGGGGCCGGGCCCAGCGCCCCAGCAGCTCTGGGCTTCCGGGCAGGGCCGGCGCCAGGAGCAGCGGCAGCCATGGCGCGTCAGAAGGTGGGGTGCGGGGAGCGCCTGGCAGGTGGCACGTGGGTACGGGGCGCGCTGGCAGATGGCGCACGCGGGGCCCCAGCCGCACAGCTGGGGAGCGCGGGAGACGGGGCGGCGTCGGCAAGACGCTGGAGTTTCTGACCAGGCGACGAGGGTGGCGCATCCGCCCCGCGCCGCAGGGTGGTGTGAGCGGCTCGCGTTTGGGAAGAGGGCGGGGAGTCCGGCTTTGAACAAGCTGCGTTTGGGACACGTGCTGACCATGAAGCGGGGCTGTCTGGGGATAGAAGTCTGGGTTGGGGGCCCTGGAGAGACACACATGGCCGTCGCCGGCGTGCGGGACAGCACGAGGCTGCTGCGGGAGTGCACGGTGGCAGCGCTGCTCAGAAACGTGCTTTGGCTGCCGTGCTCCAGGATGGCCGAGTGGCCAAATGAGCACCCCAGCGGACCCCTCTCCCTCCCCGATCCCACCGCAGTGTGCACTGTTACCGTTTGTTGGTCGCTGTCCTCACGGCTCTGTAGGTACCACCTCAGCCCGCCCTGAACATCCGACGAGGGGCTGCGTGCTGCCGCTTCCAAGTGAGCCCGCCAAGGCCCCGCGCACACCGCCGGTGGAGACTGCGGGGCTAACCGGTGGCGAAGCCAGCTTCGGGGCTCGGGAGGCCACCGTGAGCTGTCGTGCTGTATGCCAATGGAGGGTGTGCTCCGGCAAATCTAGACTTGAGCAGTGAAAATAAATCCGAAAAAGGAAATGACCCAAGAGCCAAGAAATCGCGGGACTTGGCTGTGCGCGGAGAAAACCCAGCTGCCGCGAAGCAGCTGGTCCAAAACCGGAGGTCACGGCGGGCAAGCGGCCACTCGGACCACGCAAACTACGTGAGCAAGAACTCAAAGACCGTCGGCCTGTCTCCGCCAGCTCCGGGTGCTGCTGGGACGAAGCTGTGTGTCTCCCACGACGACGACACCCAACAGAGTGGCATTTAGAAGCCCTGGCGAGAAACAGGGCACTCTAGGTAGGTCACGGTCACGGTCGAGGTGAACGCAGTGCGGGGGGCTGCGAGCAGGCGGCAGGGATGCGAAAGGAACCTTCACGCCAAGGACGTCCCCGGGTTCAATGACACGATGTTTTATCTCCCTCCCCATGGGCCGAGTCACAGCACTTGGTTCTGCTGAGAATAATGTTCGCGTAGTCGTGACGCCTGGAACGTGTTTACGGTGTTCAGGGTTCAGAACCGGCCCACACGGAACCCGTCGCTGCGGTGGCTTCGGCGTTGAAGCACTGTGAACAGCTCGCCGGCACGGCGGCGGCGGGGCCCACGGTGTCTGGGCCGAGGGCAGGGGTCCCTGCGTGTGCCCACCTGCTTTTGAGGTGGTGGAGAATCAGCAGTTTGTCTAAAGGTGAAACATTGAGAAATAGACATTTAAGCACACTCTCAAGCATCAACCTGACCCCGAGAAAACCAGTAACGCTGTAGATCGAAACCAGGCAGTGGAGGGACAGGAGGAAAGGTGACATCACGCCCCGAATTCTCCGTCCGTCCTGCGATGCGGTTACTGTCGCAAAGTGGTAAATTTATGTGTATTACCATGTCATTTAAATTCGCATGCAAATAACCGATGCCTGAAAACAAATCGCCAGTCGCAGGCGTCCGTGGAGCAGTCGGGGAGAGGGACTCTGCTGTCACCGCATGCGTTCGTCTATTTGGCCTTTCAGACGCAAGCGTGTGACCTTTACACACCAACCGTCTGCTTAGTGTAGCCCTGCGTCAGGGAAATTACGCGGCACG